CAGGGGTGTTTCTACAGTCTGGTTGTTCCTGGGCATCAGTGTGAAAAGGGGATCCAAAGGACCCCTTTTTACATGTCCCTGCTATAACAGGGCTCGGCTGATGTGGATCCCACAGATTCATGAAGAGTGAGTGAGTGTGTGCTGGAGCAGGGAAGAGACTTTGGGAGCGCAGATTTGTAATCCTCTGGGTTGATATTATTGAATAAAATACATCATGTGTTCTTTGAAAAACAACTTTAAAGACAGAAGTCTTAGGGAAGTCCTGGTTTTTGTTATTATTTGTTTGTTTCTTTTTGTTTTTTTTTTAAAGGGCCACATTTTTCAGTGCAACCCCTTTCATTTGGGTAGCACTAACCTATTCCACTCCAGCTTGAATAGCTGCAGTGCAGTGAGTGGGAAGCAGCCTAAGCATGCCTTGTAATACATTGTGAGCTGACCTTATGTGATGTCATTTTGGCTGAATAAAAATACATTTGTGTTGAGGACACTGACTTGGTCCCTCTCCCTGTCCACATAAGGACCTGGTGGGGATGTGGCAGCCCTCCTGGGGCTGTTCCCTCTTTTGGAGAGATCTGATCCATGATGAGATAGTAGAGGTTAGGTGAGGAGAGGCAAGGTGAGGAGACGAAGCTGTATCCTATGGAAAGAATACTGGTTTAACCCCCAGAGCCTCCCAAAAGTAAAGTTCAGGGTAGCGCAACATCTAGCCTGGCCTGACCAACCATTGACTGGACAGGGAACCATGAATGGGAAACCCTGCAACTGTCTTATGCTGCTCTACTCTCAGGAGAACCCTTTCCTCCAAGTAATTCTGTAAGTAAGTTATCCAAACTGTGGTTGTTAAATTAACTGAGAAAGGCACTATGTAGATATTTGGATAACACAATTTTTATCATCTATTTGCCTCAGATAAATTAAATAGAAAGTTTTCCTTTACAGGAATGTTACTGAGATAATGTAAAATTTTGCTGATTCTTAATCTATGTTTATCTAACACATTACATTTTGACACAGTACAGGTGTTTTATGTCACATGGGGAAAATAGTAGTATAGTGAAGAGGAAAAAAATGTGTTTCATACACTTATTTATGGACTTACATATGCTTTCATCAGAGTCAGCGATTGGCAAAACTCCCATCAGCTTCAATAGGCACAAGCACTGAGTTTAGCTGTCAAACCTTATTGACTCTAAGTGATCCTGAATTAAGGCTATGTTTCCAAGTCCAAGAAGCAAAGGAGAAATACTTTTGTCAACAGACATTATCAGCAACCACAACTGATTCAGCTCAGGGCTGGACAAAATGCTCCTCAGTAGCATGATTGCAGCCTTTTCACTATCTCCCCCTACATGCACATATTTATTTATTTTTTTATTTATTTTGGTAAATTCCAGGTGTAACAAAGTGTATTTACAAGGGGTAAAAATAACATGCAGCTGAGAAGAAAAACATCCCAGGTTTCAGTTTAGACCTGGAGCTGAAGATGAATCACTGCAAGGCTGCACCCTTTACACTGGGCATACGTTCTAAAAGCTGATTTTCCACTGCCTTTGGTCCCCGGTGATTCAGAAATAAAGCAGGCTCACAGAATGTCCTAAAAAAAACCTTCACAGACAATCAGTCTCTTGTTGTTCTGGGCACTAAAAATACCGTTTTCTCGTGGCGGTTTGCAGTTTTGCTTTCAATACTGTAGAAGTTAGTTCCAGAAACT